TAAAACCCCAGCCCTCAGTCCATCGGAGAGGCAGTTGCAACTTTACCCTCTGTCTCCCGGTTGACGTCTTCTGAAATAAAAAGCCTTTCCTTTAAGTTCTCTCTGGCGAATGTAATTGATGATTCTGTAGCAGCGAGCATTACATGGGTCAGGGGCTCCCCCAACTAAATCGGCCTCTCACATGTTGGCTGACAGTGAAGGGGACTCTTGTGGGACTTGCTTAACATGTGGGTGGCACTTCCAGAGGGAGGGAGGCCACTGCAGTGCTAAGGGCTGCTCGGTGGAGAATGGATTGTGCAGGGATCCAGAAGCAGGAGGAGGTCAAGGAATCTACTGAGTTCTCAGGAGAGGTGATGAAGGCTCGGTCTTGGGGTGGTGGGAGTGGAGATGAAGAGACATGGGTGGATCAGGAAATGTTTTCGGTGGCAATGTTGACAGGCTTGTTAATGGATTACAGGTGAGAGGTGAAAGGAACAGAGTCATGAAGGCTTTTGGCTCCAGGAGCTGGGTGGATGGCGGTCTCCCATATGATGGGAAGGATGGTGGAAGAGGCAAATTTGGTGGAAAAAATCCAGTGTTTTTCTTGGCCGTGTTGGTTTCAGATGAATACCAATCTCCCAAGTAGAGATGTCAAGCGGGTATTCCGGGGAGAGCTCCAGGTTGAAGATCAACACTTAGGAATTCTCAGACTAGAAATGGTATTTAAAAACTGGAGAATTTGCCTCACTCAGAAAAGACATTGTGGGATGTCTTGGAGGTTAGTGTACCTTGAAAAGTCTCCGGGTGGTAGCAACCATCATCTGATGAGGCCGAGATTGGTTTGCTCACAAGTTATGGGCTCACTGGCTTTCAAATAAAGACATGAGAGGAGAATGACAAATAGCATTTTTAATTTAAAATAGACCAGCATATAATTCGTGGGGAGAAACCAAGGAACATGCAGAAAGACTGAGTTCAGAAGTGCCCAGGAGTTTGGCTGAGAAGTTGCACGGCCTGTGCACCCTCATTGCACTCACTCACGGGCCTGGCAGGCTCTTCCTTCAGGAGGGGGCTAAATTCCAGTCGGTCCTGGGGGATAAGTCCATCTTGGTCTGCCTGACTGACAGGGCCCCAGCAATGGGGCGGGTGGGGTGGGGGAGGCAGGCCCTGGGTAGTGAACTCTCGGCTCTTCCTGCTGTCAAGGGTCCCAGAGAGAGAATACTTCTGTGGTGAGACATCAGGCATCCCAAAAAGAGCAATTAAAACTCATGTTTGTAATATAAAATGAGGGCTTTCAAAGCATGTCACTGTCACGCTTTCTGCAGGAAATACACAAGTTGTTCTTAACGCTTCATGGGCAGATCTGTGGAATCGACCCTTAGCCTGGAGTCTAAAAAACTGCCTTGTACTTTGGGTTCACCTTGTCAGGTGAGGGCTTGAGAAGAGAGGCAGGGTAGCCTTCCCGAGGAGGAGGGGTCCCCAGGCCGAGGACCACGGGGCAACGGTAAGGATGATGTTGGCTAACCTAAAAGGTGGGGGGCGGGGGGTACTCTTACCAAAAGCAATCAGCCTAAGACCTAAACCTGAGATCCTTGCAGCCTCAGAACCCACATGGAAATGGGGGGTGTCCTATGGGAGTTGGGGCAAGAGAGTCCTTCAGGGAACCTTCTACTGCATCAAGAGGGTTCTTGTAGCAGGCGAGGATCTAGGGGTGGGTGTAGTTGCCCATCCGGAGGGTCCCCTGGCGCACAGCACACTCTTCCTGGTGGGCTTTGAATGCCCTCTGGCGATCCGCCTCGGTGGGGAACGTATGCAGGTGGGGGCCCACCTGCGGACAGAAGGGAAGCGAGGGTGGGTGAGGCTCGTTCTGGCTGCTCCCCTTCTCCTCACTGCCCACCCCCACCTTCAATCTTAGAGTAACAATAAAAATCACTGTGGGAGGGACAGAGGTGACAGCACGTGCTGCAAGCCTCCTGATCCCATGGCGCGAGCTGAGACCGGAGGTGGCAAGAGCAGGACCTCCTGGAGGAGGACAGAGTCCTTCTTTCTGTTGAGCCCATTGCTGGGGAAGATGTGTGCGTCATGAACCTCAGTTGGCGATGACTGGATCGCCACGCAGTGGGACCTCATCGCCAGCGTCATCCTTCCCACACCGATTTACCACCATTAAAAAAACCCACACAAGCCGTCCTCTCCAGGGGGACCTCCTGGTGTTCTCTGCCCCTTCGCCAGGAGGATAATCTCACTCCCCTCTGCCCAGTGGCAGCAGCCCGTGGGAGTTGAGGGGCCGACCCTCAATAACGCCAGAACCAGAGATCGGGAACACACGCCCTTGCCCTCTCTGGAGGAAAACCTGCGAGGAGATAGATCTGAGGAGTGGGAGCCTCTTCAGTGAAGATTTTATGCAACCAGTATCTCAGCCTGCCCCTCCTTCCCAAGAAAGGGTGGTGGGTGGAAGCGCCTCCTTGTCTCGTGGCATCGCTGTGTCTGTTGCGTCTCCTCCAGGTGCGAGAAAACCTCACCCCGTACTGAGGGCAACCTTCAGGACAACCCGAGGGAGGCACAGAGTGCAAAGGGTTTAGCTCATTTGTTCCCTCCCTCCCTCCCTCCCTCCCTTCCTGCCACACTTATTTATTTAAACTTTTTTGGTGGCTGGCTGCTGCGGGGATCCAAACCTGTATTTATTGAGCAGAACTCTGTGTTAGGCACAGGGGATACAGCAGTAAACAAAGGAGACTCAGCTCTGCCCTCAAGGAGCTTGTAATCTAGGAGAGCAGCCACCTAACGATGCGGCTACTTCACGGCAATCGGCAGACAGATGCGGTGTGCCCTGAGGACAAACAGCAGGAGCCCAGCCCTGGCAGGAGGCAGGGAGGCCTCGCTGGGGAAGAGACTTTGAAGGGAGGCTTGAAGGATGAGTGGCCGTTTCCCAGGCAATGGGGGCAGTGCGTGTGTCTGCTGGCCCTGGGGAGATTCAGCTCATGGGGGTTCATTAGGGGACATGGTGGCCAAGGTGGAGGGCAGGTTCCCTTTGGATTTGGAGGTGCAGCAGGAGGCTCTGCAGTGGGTTCGGGATAAAGCAGGACCCATGCCCAGGACAGACACAGGTTCTTGTCCAGAATCCAGGCCAGGCTTGGCCGCTTGGGGGTGGTAGCTGAGCCCCCAGGGCTGCAGGCAGCTTTATGATCACGAAAGGTGAGAGAAAAGACAAATGTAGAGATAATAAAATATTAAAAGGCAGTAGAGGGAAGACAAAGAGGAACTTGCAGGAAAAAGTGTGCTCAGTGCCCGAATGGAATATGACTTAGATTGTGTTTGTCATTTTACAGACGAGGAAAGTGAGGCCCAGAGCAGAGTTTGGTTCAGGGTTGGCCCCAGAGGGAACTGGTGGCAGAGGCACTCTATTTTAAACCCCCCAACCTCTGGGCGCTAAGCTCCGGATTCTTTCTAGAACATTCTGCCACAGCTGCCATTCATGCTGCGTCCGGGGTGCTCCTTGCACCTCACGCACAGGTGAAAAGGAGGCAGGGGGCTGCGAAAGCTTGTTAGAAACCTGTAAAAATCCAATGGGGTTGAGTAGATGTTATTCCAGGAATGACTACGTTCTTTAATCTCTAGGGGATGTGGAGGCTCTGCAGAAAGCCACAGACCCTCTTCCTTGGGAAAAAAAGTACTCACAAGTCCCCATATAAAAAACAGTGTGGCTATTACAGGAGGCTCAGGGACCTTCTACGGCAATGTTTTGTGGAGCCATCCCAGCCTCAGCCCCAGCCTCCGGTTTTGGAGTTTTGGGGTATGCATAGGAATCACCTTGGGGTTCTTGTCACCCCAGCAGGGGCCTGAACCCAACCCCAAAGCTACTGAGACCACCAGGGCAGAGCCCTTAACACAGCCACCTGACGCCCACCCAGAGCCAGGGCAGATATCTGATGCTCAACTCATTTTGATCAATCGAACCATCATTTTGCATAACCGAAGCTTGATACCCATTGAACAGTCTTCATTTCCCCTCCCCCTGAGGCCCTGTCACCTCTCCACTCCCTGTTCTATGAGTCCCAGTGACTCTGCAGTGTAGCTCTGCAGCCCACCTCTCAGCCATCTCCACAGACCCCTCCTTGGCCCTTGTAGTGGATTGAAAGGTGACCCTCAAAAGGATATGTCCATGTCCTAACCCCGGGACCTGGGACTGTGACCTTATTTGGAAGAAGGGTATTTGTAGATGTAATTAAGGATT